AGAAGACTACAGCTGAAAAGATTAAAATAAGATTTTTAGTACAAATTTTATAATAGGTTCCAATTGAAAAATACCTTGTTATAATCAATTGAAACAATTTTTGGCATTACTCTTTCAAATATATCTTTATTATAAAATTTATTTTATAAAATTTTAAATTATTTTCTTAAAATTATTCCTTTTGTTTTCACAGACATAAGTTTGCCAAATATAATAGGTTTATATTTTTAAAACTTTATATTTTCTTCTTTATTTTTGTGTATATATATTTTTGTAAATATTATTCGAAAATATGCTTATATATATATATATATTCCACATATATATTCCATTTAACAACCTTTCGGCTTGATGTTTGCATTGTAAATGTGTGTGGCTTTTGGGAAATTAAAAATGTGTTCAGTGCATTTTGTGCTATTTATTTCAGAATTACCAAGATACATTATATAAACCAATGAATGTTAAAAATTGAGTAATGTTAATAATTTTTCAGGGTAAAACTAATCATTTTACCAACACTGCGATAGAAAAAAATTAGTTTGAAAACAATAAAATTAATGCGTATTTTACCTGAATATTGACTTATTTATTATTACAGTAAAACCCAGCTAAAATAAACCCAGGATATAGCAAACCTTCCCATATAATGAACCTAAGGTAATCCCTGATTCCATTCCATTAAAAATTACATTGATATAATAAACTTTGAGATTTAAATATATATATAACAATCTACCTTCTAAGGAACCTAATTTTATGTCCCAAAATAATAAATTCTAATTTAATATGATGGTTTGAGCAAACTAAAAACTTTATTTCAACATATTTTCAAAATAGATTTTTTTTAGCATGTTTCAGATCACAAATCACAAGTAATAAATTCAGCGGCATTGTGTTTATATTTATGTTCTATTTTTGTTACACAATAAGGCACAATTTGTTATAGATTAGAAACAAGGTAATAAGACCAAATAAGACAATGCTGCTACTGAAATGGCCCACACAATTTATTTATTTGGACTTGGTACTATTACCTTGTGCTTTTGCTACTTGTTATATCAATTTTACTTTTTACTTTATTTCATAGAATCTTTGCTTCATCAAATTTTAAATAGAAAAATGCAAATTGCTTGCAAAATAAAAGAAAAAAGCACAAATATGTGGAATTTTTACAAGCTACCACTAGAATAAAATGACATTATTAAAGTTATTCAAAGTGAAAGTACAACTAAAAAACTTTTGAATATGTTAAAATAAAAAATATAACTTCTCTACAAAAGAGATAAAAATAAAGTATAATAAAAATTGCTACATTTTTTTCTGCATTCCTATGTGTTAGCATCCTCTTTCAGAAGTGTTCTATATATAGCTAGTTTAACCTAGGGAAAAAAAGTCCAAATGAATAGTCCATGAAGCAACAAAAGAATAATTTTCATACCGTGAATTGTGGTGATTTCAAAACCAGCAATGATTTGCATGAGAGGTTTAAAAAGAAATCTAGACTTCTGAAGAATATGTGGATATGGTAAATGGAAAAAAATACTTTCATTGGAAAGGCTATATTTGAAGAGTGCTTTCAAGCAAAACAAAGTTTTAGAGATTTTTCAAATAAACTTTGTATTATAAATGAAATATGATAAAGCTATTTAAAAATAATTTTACATAATTTTTAAAATATAATTAATAAAGCTTTGCATAGGAATTGTCTTGGTTTTTAATTTTGAGATATAGTGACAAAAATATATAATAATAAAATTTCATCGCAGTAAGGAGAGTAGAAGTTTGATTTATTTGTGAAAAGAAACATTCGCTTCTTAATGTTTTAATTTGTTATATATAGATGGCGCATTATTGCTTTGTTTATATAATAATGATAAGAACTTATCATTAGAGGACTTCTTGTCACAAGAAAGGCTTCCAAAGGAATCTAAAAACTATCAATCACCTATAAATGGGAGAAGATGGACCAATTAGGTAGGAAGAAGCCATCTGGCCAGCAGTAAAGTTGCGCTCCCTCTTGTTGGCGGGGACTGTTGGATGATGGTCTCTGTATGTTATTGCTTGTTCTCCATAAGGTGCAACGGTAAATAAAAAGGATTTGAACAGAGATCCTTACCGATCTTGCATGTTCATTTGACCATCTGTGACACAAAAGCAATGTAACAATATTTTGTGGCCATTTTGATATCCAGGATTACTGTATAGAAATAGGTCAATTTATAGGGAATTGAAACAAAGTGACCATTATTAAAAGATAGCCTTTTTCTGTGTATGACTGTCCTTTAATAATTATGAAATGTGTGTGTAAAAAATAGCCAAACTGTGGTTATAGTGAACCAAAAGTTCAGTCCCATGTTTCAGAAGGTGGATTATGCCTGGGGAAAATGAGAAGAGTGGGCCTGCTGAAATGGGAGTGAAGGAAAGGGAATGGGAAAGGGAGGAATGGGACTACAGAAGAGACAGAATTACCTTGAAGGCATGTCCACAGTGGTTGACTGATGTCATGATAGCCTCTGTTGGGGGGGGGGGGGGGTGGGGGAACTACTTCTATCATAAATTAAGAAACTGGAATGCTGACACATGCACCATATATATTTAAGGATATATCTAAACTGGCAATTAAAAGACTTATTGCGCAACTGAGACTCCTATGGGTGTCATTCCCAGAAAATTGATCAAAGTGCTGGAAGACTGACTGTCCTTTAACTTGTGATCTGTGTAATATCAGAATACAAGACAAAATTATGCATACAATTTTTGGTTGCTGTTGCTTGAAGAAATAAAGAGGGGAACTCTTGGGTGATTTATCCTTGTCTCAATTCGATAGTCAACAAATTTATAACTGGATGAATGCAATGACCTTTGATCAAGGTCTTCTTTTTGGTTTATATAAATTATACAAGGCCGCAGTCACCGTTCGGAGGAGATTAATAGAATTGCCGAATGCCCAGGTCCATTTGAATGAGGAAAGCGAGGACTAGAATGCAGCTGATTCCACACTAGCCTGTTCGGTGATTCGCTAACCATGATGTGTGCATGAAGGAATGTGTAGCCATTGGACATGCTTCGGACCTGGAGGCTGTTGTTGGGTGCTGCGCTGCTTGGAGCTCAATCTATGATTCCTTTCTGCCTGTGGTGAATCTGTATAAGACCGGTGGTCTTAATAAAGATTTGTGAGCTTTGTGTGGATATATCTAAACTGTAATGAAACTTAGAAACAAAATAAACTTACCAACTCACATATCACACAAACATAAATTACAATGTTTACTAAAAACCACATAACATACCAAAGAAATCACCCCCATTCCAGTTTAGACACCTCACACCAGACATCTCTCAAGCATGGTGTGTATCAATTCCAAAAAAAAAAAATCATTTTCAGTATAAACATTTCCCAATCCATTATCATCCTGCGCAGATATAATGCAAAGTACCACAATAGTACAAACAAGTCACAAATAATTTTTGACACATTTGGTACAAATGTGAGTACCTTTCCCATTTTCCATATCATGTTCCTTTAACCATCACCACATTCCCATACCATACTAATGGATTTAAATATTGATATTCACTCACAATAAATCACAAGAACCATGAATTTAACACATTGCCAACATACGCAACCATCAATGAATTTTCCACCTCCTATTTTACAATTCTATTTTAAAGTATATACCACCCAAACCACTAATATAACCCAACACAAACACACCCTACAATGTACACAAGATAATTGCCATAGCAACAAAGATATAATCACATCCACAATATTAAAAAAATATTACATTTTAAAACACATGCACACAACATAAGGATACAATGATAAGGCACAATTCGGATTATTAATATATACAGTTATCAGCGTCATGCATTCTTTCTTAATTCTGTCACCGTTTGCTTTTGGTTCAGTGGTAGAATGCTCGCCTGCCACGCGGGCGCCCCGGGTTCGATTCCCGGCCAATGCATTTTTTTTTTTACAATTTTTAAAATTCATTTATATTATAAAAATATATGTGCTTTTCCTGTCTATGTACAGATTTATGGTCTATGTACACAAGTATACAAGTATGTATACAAGTTATTTGCAAATTGCGTGGCAAATTTGCCCTTTCGCTCGCAAGCAGCGCCTCTAGCGGTGAATATGGGAGGTAATATCAGCTGACCTAATGGACATGTAAAACGTGTTTTAACAGAACATAGAGAAAAATCTGGAAAATATATTTTTCGGATTTTTAGTCAAGAAAAATAAATTGACAGGTTCTGGGAAAAAAGTAGTTGTTTTTTATTCAGAAAATGATGATGACAATATTGCTGTATCATATTTGATTATCAGATACAAAATTATATCCGGAAAAATTCCAAAAAGCAGAGACCATGGTTGAAGCCAGTTCATTTTTAGTATGCAGGAACAAAATTCTAACAGAAAAACATTCATTCGAGCAGAAGACACAAAGCCAGATCATCTCTTTATAAAAATATCGCTTCTCAGACACAAAGTTTGGAGCAGGACGTTTCACAAGAATGACATCCACGGCGCCAATTTATAATTGTAACGAATAGTATTTGAATAAAAGCATTTAATCAGGTAAAACCCGGGCATTGCCCTTTCTTAATCAATTCTGTCACCGTTTGCTTTTGTGAATGGAATAAATACCCAAATATGGCCATTTCTCATAACCATCTGTGGTTCAGTGGTAGAATGCTCGCCTGCCACGCGGGCGGCCCGGGTTCGATTCCCGGCTGATGCATTTTTTTTTTTTTTTTACAATTTTTAAAACTCATTTATATATTATACAAGAATGACATCCACGGCGCCAATTTATAATTGTAACGAATAGTATTTGAATAAAAGCATTTAATCAGGTAAACCCCGGGCGTTGCCCGGGTCATTCGGCTAGTAGATTATAAACACAAGGTAATAAGATCAAATCCAAATAAATAAATAAATAGTGTGTGACTTTTCGGTAACAGCGTTACCATCTTCAGACAAAAACACTGAATCCAGGGTAGCCTAGTGGACATGGCATCTGCCTGGTAAGCGGAACACTGGAGTTTGATTCCCATCATTCAGTACTTTTGTCTGAAGATGGTAACAATGCTGTTACCGAAACGTCGCACACTATTTATTTATTTGGATTTGGTCCGATTATCTTGTGTTTATAAGGATACAATGAATTGTCTCCACCAAACTAAAAATATATCTGCTAAACACAAACATTCTCTCTCAAACACAGTAAATATATTGTCCATTAGACATTGGGTTAGAAACTGGTCCAAATTAAGGTAACATTTTTTTCCAATTTCTACAAACTCACAAATTATTCTTTCACCCATCACCCACTTTTTAAATCATCTCAAAACCTATCTACATCATTGCACCATTTACAGCATTTCTACCCTAAAACCATTTAGAGCAATATATTTTCTATGTTAAATTCAAAATCAAAGAGCATTTAATATTCTAACAACAATGATATAGCACAATTTGGATGATAGATTATAAACAAAAGGTAATAAGACCAAATCCGAATAAATTGTGTGACGTTTCGATAACAGAATTGTTACCATCTTCAGACAAAATTACTTATACTATATTTACTACTTATTCAGTACTTTTGTCTGAAGATGGTAACAACGCTGTTACCAAAACATCATAGGCTATTTATTTATTTGGATTTGGTCTTATTACCTTGTATTTATATTCTAACAACAAGAAAACAATATTGAACAGAACAAACATCCAATGCAACAAACCAGATTTCCCTAGAAGTAGATGAGAAAAACAATTAGGAATGTAAATTTCTTTGGACATGCCCATCTGAAATAGATGTCCTCTCATATGACTGGAAGTGCAAGCGACAAAGACACCACTGTTGCGCTTCCTCTGCAAATGGTTTTACACTCGCACAGACATCCACACTTTATAACTTCTACTCCTCACTTACTTCTGCAACATATTCACTCATGGACAAAACTTGAGGAAGTGGAAAGTTTTGATGTCGCTGGTCATCTATATATTTTTTTTAAAGGAGACAGAGACAATTTTATTCACACTTGGTTATCTCGTGTCTTCAATAAAGGTCACTGTTTATCATAAATCTTTCAGAGTTATTGTTTGAATCCTGAAATACATGCTAAAAGGTAAAACTGCCTCAGGTTTTGTCCATGAGTGTATATATATATATATATATAAATATTGCAATCTGATTTTTTACTTCACATTTTTAATCATCATCTGTTTATATTTTTGCCATTCATATCTTTCAATGAATTACCCTGTAAGCCATTTTTTTTCTAATTCAATGCATATATGCATAACATGTATTGCTATAAAATATTCACTATCATTTAAGTCACAACACAATGTACATTTGAGTTACAAGAACAGAGTTACAAATCACTGTGAGACAGCAGTATTCAATCTAAAGTATATAAACACAAGGTAATAAGACCAAATCCAAATAAATAAATAGTTGTGATGTTTCGGTAACAGTGTTGTTATCATCTTCAGACAAAAGTACTGAATGAGAAATTTTACCGCAGCATGTTTTAAATAGTTACTGTTGCCAAGTGTGTAAACAAGATAACAGATAGGAAGAAGATAGTTTTCTAAGGACCCTAAAATATTATTCTTAGAATTAGAAGTGGAAAAAACCCACTTTTTTTTAGATATAATTAAGAGCATATCTGTAAATATCATTGATATTTCCTAATAATAATAATTATTATATCTAAATAAAAAAGTGGGTTTTTTCCACTTCTAATTCTAAGAATAATATTTTAGACTTCTTAGAAAACTATCTTCTTATCTGTTATCTTGTTTACACACTTGATAACAGTAACTATTTAAAACATGCTGTGGTAAAATTTCTCGTTCAGTACTTTTGTCTGAAGATGGTAACAATGCTGTTACCGAAACGTCACACACTATTTATTTATTTGGATTTGGTCTTATTACCTGTGTTTATAATCTATAATCCAAATTGTGCCTTATCGTATATAAACATATACATGCTCCAACTGTCACAAAGGCAAATTGCGACTTTAATTTTCTTTCTCTCGTTACCACTTACTTTTGCTGCCGTCGTCTTATCCACGAAAATCTACGTGGTACCTACCAAGTAAACACCATCGGCCAGGCCGTAGTGCTGCGCGGGGCGACTACGCCGTTCTGCGAGTCATCACCCGAACTGCCCGTCACATGTTAGAGCGCCCACGCCTGACTGCCCTGCCCATCGTCCAGTTCGCTAAAAGGTGAGAGGAGCATATAAACCTACCCATCAACATCGGCTGGTTGTCGTTCCAGGGCTGCGCCTTATCCGGGCACAACGCAGATGTGGCATTGAGGCTGGCTCTGCACGCCCTACCTCGTCCAGCATCGGCAACAGTCTTGCATCGCCTGTGGGTCTGGCGACCTGTCTCTGGTTCACCAGTACTGGTCCTGCCGCTACATCAGGCCTCTCATCCGGGAGGCATTTACCATAATTGAGCGGCCCCCTGACCCGCAGGGCTGGGTCTTCGGGTATGACCTAGACGATGACGCCCTGGCCATCCTGGCGTCTGCCAAGACGCGCATCTATAGGTACTTCTCGGTGTGGAACTGAGAAGTGTACAAGAAGACCCCCTCCTTGTCTGGAGGAGGACTCTCTCAAGGTGGGGAAGCCTTCCTTGCTGAAGACATTTGTACACAACTATATATATATATATATATTCCCCTACAATTTATATGCCCTTTTACTATATTTTCCACCTCTGTAAAATTTGATGAAAAGAATCAATAAAATTGTTTAAATTGTCAAAATTGTCACCACTTACTTTTAAATTCTCCCATGAAATAACATACATATAAAGGTAGCAAGACCAAATCCAAATTATTGAAATGTTTGCGACATTTCGATAACAGCATTGTTACGATCAAAATCAAACCAAGTACTAAAAAAAATTTTGTTAAGCACAGTGCTTATATGCTATGGCCTCTATGCTCTGCGTGCCAAAGTATTGTATTTTTAGCAATAAACTTGTATTTAAACAATAATTATCTAATGTTAAAATTTGATTTTAAAAATGTCAAATTATAATTTGGTCAAAATAACAGTTATACTGTATTTAACTTTTCAAAAATTTCTCTACGTTGAACACATACCTTTATATTTGGGCAACTCAGGATCTCTGACATACCTATTTTTATGATAAGGCACAATTTGAATTATAGATCATAAACAAAATTCTCATTCAGCACTTTTGTCTAAAGATGGTAAAAACACTGTTACCGAAACTTCACACACTATTTATTTATTTGGATTTGGTCTTATTACCTTGTGTTTATTATTATAAAATGATTAAAAAATAATTTTACAAATTTTTTTCGACAACCATTATATTTGCATACAACTTGAAATGGCCACAGAGTATATACATATTTTGAAATCATAGGTTAACAACTCTTTTATCTTCTTTTTCATTTTCATATATTCCCCCCAACTTTATATCCTTTTACCCCAATATAATTTTGAATTCTTACCTTTTAAATTTTAATATCTACCATTTTAATTTTTAAAACTTAATTTCAACTTTTAAAAAAACCTTTTTCATTCAAAAAGTATTTAGATGCTCAATTTTACATTTACCTCATATATAATTATCCTGAAGATGGAAGTTGCCTGGCCGGCATTCATATTTCTATGAAAAATAAACACTTCGACCAGTTAGTTTATTTTCTCAATGTTTCGACAAAAATCTTTTGTCTTCATCAGGAGAAGAAAATCTCCTTGTCGAAATGTTGAGAAAATAAAAACTTTAACTGGCCAAAGTGTCCATTTTTCATAGAAATAATCATATATAATTCTCCCAAAACTGAGTTATTTTTAAAATTTCATTTGGACAAATTTTCAAATATAATGGCACAACACTTCAAGTTTACAATTATTTATTTGCTAATCACCTTTCTTCTATAACAGTCTATTTCTTTTCCGTTTCTTCAAAATTCCAAAATTTTTCATTCATTTTGACAAATATTTTACTTTTGCCAAAAACACGCCTTTTCCTTGATTTCTTTTGTATCAACATATATATTTTTTAACAAGTAGCTCTTGTGTGTATGCATCAATTTTACTTTTTATTTTTTGCTAAACCTTTCTGCATGGCTTTTGTGTACCAATTCCTTACATTGAACCTTAAACACTAACAGGCTATGAATTTTTTTTTTTAAACCACAAAAGTTCAATTTTTTTTTTACCCCAAAGATCCTAGTTTTTTCATGCACATGTATGCCCATTATGTTTTATTTTGCCCTCAAGAGAATTCTCATAAGTTGACTGCCTAGTCAATTCCATTATTAATGAAGTCTCTCCATAAAAAAATTAAATAAGAATCTTTCAAATAGCTTCCATCACAGTTTTTTTTTTGTTTATCCCAAATGATAAAGCACAATTTGGATTATAAATTATAATAAAAGAAAATAAGACCTAATCCAAATTTATTTACTAATAAAATTATTTGGTTTAGGTCATATTTTCTTTTATTATTTTGCTTATCCCTAGTACACGTGGTACAGGCCATGATAATCATGGTGGGTAGAAGTAGGTGACTGCTTTTACTGTAAGTGCACCAATGTCTACACATGTGAAAAGCAGTTCAACTTTGCACTTGCAAATGTGCCAGAACCATGTTTGGTTACTTGCACTCTCTGGTGGGGTTGGACTTTTGCAAGAATCGGGGGCCATTGGAGCACTTTTTTTTTCAATCAGAAAAAAAGTGCCCAATGCGGGAATCGAACCTGGGTCGTAGTGGTCGAAAACCAACAGTTTAGACCATCCATCACAGTATTTGGAGAAGAGGAGCAGTAACTGCAGTTAGTGTTGCTGATCCATAGAATAGCTTTATTAGTGAAAAGTCCAATATTGGTGTTATGTGAGCAGCTGCACATGGCGTCTGTTCCTCATGTCAGAGTCGGCCATTTCTTTTGGAGCTAAGTCGGCCTGCCACTGAGTAGTGCTCCCAGTCTTAATGACAAAGGCAGACGCATTCTACTTCACCCAGACCCTATTAAGATTGAGTGGAGATAAAGAAGAAGA